TATTTTCTTAATAAAATTTTCTATTTCAGATTTGATTTTTTTCCATTTACAAAAGTTTCCAACAACATTAATGTGACTATGCTAACGGTAGCGACGATGGTGGCTGAGCAATGGCATTGGACACTTTGTTAATGCATTCAAGATATGGGTGGACTAATGTCAATAATTTCTCATTAGCTAATATTATCATGTTTAATTTGTTTTATAGGTTAGGTTTTCTTTAGTAAGCTATTTTCTATATTTGAGGGGGAAAGTTGCTAAAAATTGAAGTTTGGATTGGATTGGATATGTGTTGGCATTGGATTGAATCGGGTATAGGTTGCCAAAATTGTATTATATAAAAATGCATCAATATAGATTAAAAGAGTCAATTTGAGTCGGACACATTTTCAATCTATCCAAGCCCAATCCGACCAATCCATTGGACATATCTAATTTCGGCTACTACTGCTTTTCATTCTCTTTGTTTTTACGGTCACCAAGGCCCTCTTTGCTACTGACACCTATTATCATCCCAAGAATTAATCGTCCTTAGCAACTCAATTTTAGAAACATATTTAGAGAAATCTTACCAAGCCAATGAAATATGTGACATGCCCAGTTTCATTTCTTGCTATCGCTTCGGCTGCTACTCTCAATTTGTCTTAGATTGCTTAAAACTTACATTCTTTGGTGTAGTTAGATCATGTGTCACGACATGGAACTAGTGCGTGACACAGACGTACAACGAAGAGCATCATATAACGTTAGGATTTCAACATTTCTAGAGAAGTTACTAAATGTCAACGCAGCCAATCGAAATTAGCGGGCCGTTTTTCATATGCAGCATGATTGTTGGCTTGAAAGCAGCGGCAATCACTAATCAGGCAATCGAGCGAGTCAATTGGATCCAATTTCTCGCACCAAGTACACGAACTGAGGAGGAATGTGAAAACTAAAATTTTCAAGCCCAAAAATTACGTGTACCACCTTTGGTCCAAGTTTGGCGGGTCCACGCTTGAAGAACGTTTATTTTATCCAAAATCGAAGAATGTTCGTGATTGAATCGCTTTCCCACAATAGACAGAACAAGCCTTGAAATTCTTAATTAATCATTGAACTTGCTCCGATCAAGCATGACAGACCAAAGTACACGCAATAGTTTCCGGTTGACTCGACTGTAGAATGCCAAATTGTCGAGATGCGTATTGGCGAGTAATCTTTCGCTCTATTCACTATTAGCACAGAAAAGAATTTCGTAGACTGTGCTAGTGCGTTAATCCACATCAATCAATATATGGAAAAATTGTCCAATTAATCTTGAACCGATTATAAGGATGCCAATTCATTCTTAATCATTTCAATTTTGCTAATTTATTCGTAAATCTCTTCTTGAAATTCTAAGGCAGCCCATCTGGCCAGTTTTCATCAGCAATCGCCAACGTGTGATGTGCCACGTAGGATGATCGGCGATGACTAGCCGCACATCAACGATTTCAAACAAAATTGGCCAGCAGGAATACATTAGAATTTCACGCAAAAGTTTAGGACTAAATTGGTAAAACTAAAAAGTTTAGAACTGGATTGACATCCATATAATAAGCTTGGAACTGATGTGTTGATTTTTGTACGATATTTTTCTTTCTTTGTCCCCAATGAGTAGTGTCATCTTGCACAAAGTCAGGACCGTGTGCAAGATTCTCTTTGAAGAATGTCCAGTGATGATCAAGACTAATTTCTAAGTAGTGTTAGGAATATTTTTCAGCAGGTAATTACAAGGAGAGGTGTAATCGAGTTTAGTTGAGTTGTTGTGGTCTAATGTTTGAACCAGACTGGAGTGAAAAATTCAAGACTGAATACTCGATTTAAATTCGTTCTTGACGAAGCTCAACTTTTCCAAATCGAGTTTGGCTAATGAAACAATTTTATAAGCTTGAAATGACTTGATCTGATTCAACTTGTTTATTATAAATGAGCAGTCGTCGGAGCTTAATTCAAGCCTCAGCTCACATTCGACTTTGGTAAAGACCGAACTGATGAGGACGATTTTCTCAATTTTTTACGTTAGTCGTAGGACTGATGATGCTACTTTCTTTGTGGACTCCATGTAGTGGGAATAGGAGCAAAAGCGCGTTTGTGTTTGTCGGCTTTTCTTTCTTCGTTTGCCGATTTCTTGGTGCCAAATTCTCTTGATTTCATACGCTGGCCAAACCAAGGAAAAATCAAACTTCGATTGGGTGGGATATGACCAGCTTTGGGAATTGGAATATGAGCTACTCAATGATGAAAATAGAGATAGTTAATAAGTGCCTAGGACGACTAAGATATTGCGCTTCAAGAAGAGTGGGTTTTATGTTTGGTCCACACTCGTCGCAATCGCCGTAGCCAAGATTGAATTGGAGATGGCTTTAATTTTCACGTGAGTGGACCCATTTTCAATTGGATTGGACATGGATTCAGTGATCGGATGAAAAGCTCGATGAAAATATCACATAATCTCTGCTTAAATGAAGTACCTTTCGCTCACTCGTTAAAACTCGATAACTAATTGAACACGAAAATTTTCAATCGATGATGATTGTTCTTTTCTTAATGTGTGCTTCGGTCTACTTAAGCGTTCTCATTAGTTTAGTAATCTTGACTAGTGTCACATGATTGTCGTTAAGAAATTCAAGTGAATAAGATTTGAATTGCATTGGTGGGTCTGTAATGGGAATGTAACTGCTGGGCTGACTTCCATGGGATATGTAAGGTAATTTACCATTGTCCCAGTTTTCTTTCTTTTTTGCCCACTAAGTAGTGTCATCTTGCACAAAGTCAAGACCATGTGCAAGATTGTCTCTTTGAATGAATGTTCAACAATGACCAAGACTGATTTTCAAGTGGTGTTCGGAATATTTGTCAGTCGTTACTTAAAAAGAGAGGTGTAATCTATTCTAGTTGAATCGATATAGTCTAATGTTTGAATTGGACCGAACTTGAAAATTTGGGACTGGATACTCAATTCAAGCCCAATCTTGATGATGCTCAATTTTTCCAAATCGGTTCAACTAGTTTAGTGTTTTTACAAGCTGAAAATGACTCGGTTGATTTGACTCGATTATCATAGATGAGTTTTTGTCGAAGCTTGATACAGTCTTGCGCTCAAAGTCGGCTTTCGTAAAATCCGAACCGATGAGGCTTGAACTTGACTCAGTCTTGCGCTTCAACTCGTAAATAATTTATTCATGCTCAAGTAGCTTGATTCGTTGTTACATGAAGAAGCAAATTAAACCCAATTTCGAAGAAGCATGTGAGAAAATGTTGGTAAAGCGCATAATTGTTTCAACCATGACTGCTTCTCCCAAAGGTCAAGCCTGTGATATAAGTTTCTTCATCACCCATCATCGCTGGTGGTGGCTATGGCTATCACCATGTCCTCCACCCCTTCTTTCCTCTCTCGCTCTCCTACCCTTCTCTTATACATTTTACTTTCCTTTCTTTTTATATTAAAATTAGTTTCTTTTAATTTTGACATTATTGGCTTTTACCTTTTCTTAATGACAATATATATATATATATATATATATATATATATATATATATATATATATATATATATATCATCTTAGCCTACCACATCAACATGAGAAGAGTTATTCAAGAAGGACCTGATTGAGAATGGGGTAGAGTCAGGGGAGTTGATTCCAAAAGATTCAATTGCACAAGAACAAAAATTAAGGGACCTAAAGTGAACTTACTCTTTCTAAATGATTTTTCTACTAGCAAGGGAGCACCAGTTTGCTGGGGCCCGCAAAAATTTATCAGCTATAATCTCTATGATTTGAAAACAAATAAGCGGACAATTTTCGTTTTAAATTTCCATCATCGTACTTTGTATCATTACTTTTTTGAAAAATTAGGGTGTCTCTAGTCTGTTTTTCCTATACATCAGTCCTCACTCCTTTCTCAACTTTCTTTATACAAAGATTTCGTTTTTTTCCTATTTTTGGCTGGTCATTTTAATCTTTTTAACATTTTGTAATCTCTTGGTGAACAACTCACACATACCATGGGCCTACTTTATAAGTTCAATATTTTCTTTTTTGAGGGTAAGGGCACTAGAAGTCCTAAAATTTGTGCAAAAAAGCTTTACCCATTAATTAGGATGAGATTGACCTATTTGAAAGTTCTAACACTCGGTTATACTTTTGCTATAAGATTTTGGACTGATGATACACTTAATCCTCAATATTACGTAGTTTTCTAATTTGGCAAATAAGTAATGTTGCAAAGTAAAATTTTCAAATCCAAACTTAGGAGCCTTCAATTAGTTTCGAATAGCATTATGGCTTTAGGTTTAGACTTTACCTATTCAATAGCATTCCATCTTAGTTGAAAACAATCTTCATTGAAGAATCTACTTCATTGCAAATTTTTCATGCCAAAACTCCGGGGAAAATGGTCATATAGTTCTGTCGTATTTTGATTTCTACGCTAGATGCATACCTACTTTTTTCTCCCAATTTGTAAGCAAGAGTTCTATTGAGCAATAAACATACCTGAATCTCAGTTGAAAGAACAACAATACACCTTTTCAAGTTTAATAACTATTCGACCAAAAAAAAAAGTTCAATAACTGAATCTTAGTGAAATCCTGATGGACGTGAATGTTTGAACAATACTTTATCCCAAAATCGATAGTAAGCAGACCTCCATGATTGGATAAACACTAACGGACCAAAAAATACCCAGAAGCCAACAACGAATCCAAGTGGTATGCCCAGGTAAAACCACTTCTTCTTGCTATCATCATTGTTGCCATCGTCACTAGCTTCTTTCGTTCTGTTTGTGTTAATTGAGCAACTTTTGTTGAGCGGAAGCCCACACAATCCAAGGTTTCCTTTGAAAGAACTTTCGGAAAATGTAAGAAATTGTCCACTAGCCGGGATGCTTCCCACAAGCTAATTGTTTGAGAGGTTCAGGAAAGAAAGGAAATGAAGATTTGCAATTTGAGCCGGTATGGTTCTATTGAAGTAGTTTCATGACAGGTCCAACAACTCGAGCTGATGCAGATTCTCCAAAACAGGAGGAATTGAACCCGAGATGGCATTATGCGATAGGTTTAGGAAATAAAGTGCTTCGAGATCCCCAAATGTGTCTGGTATTGGACCCTCCAATCTATTGCCTGAGAAGTCGATCGATGTGAAAATAGTCAGAATCTTGACAAGTTCTATCCGTAGACCTTTCAAGGTTACACTCATCGTATCTTGACAATTGAATCCACTCAGTGGGAGGAACTCATATTCCAGGTGATTGAAGTCTACATTGGCCTTCATAGCCTCCCAAGATGCGAGGAGACTTGCAGGCAGCATGCCGCCGAAATCATTTGAAGACAGGTCAATGATTTGAAGCATCTGCTAGGTGCCGAGACTATGCGGACATCCAATTTCCCCATGAAACTTGTTGGATCTTAAAACAAGGACACGGAGAGTTGATACAGCCTTGAAATGGCATGGAAATGTCCCATCTAGTTGATTGTCCCCGATGTTCACATACTCCAATGTTGTGCAATTTGCCAACGACATTGGAATCCGCCCCTATAAAAAATTCTCACTGAAATCCAATGTCTTCAGACCACATGTTCCAGGGATGTTTTGTGGAATATCACCATTCAACTGGTTATCTCTCAGATTCAATACCTTGAGGGACTTCATCACGAAACAATCAGGAATAGTTCCATTCAGTTGGTTACGAGATAAGTCGAGCACTTGAAGAAATTCAGCTTTGTAAATCGACTTCGGGATGGACCCATGGAAATTAGTTTTTGAAAGGGAGAAGAACATCGTACCTAATAGGTAGTCGCCAATGTCATCGGGAATAACAGAATCGATATAGTTACTTGAGAAATCCAAATAGACACCGTGTGATGGCAAAGGTAGCATATTCCCTTGGAGCATGTTTAAATGGAGGTCGACAACAGCCAGATCAGAAGGAATATTGGGCAGAGGTGTTTCCAAATCTACAAATAAATTAGAGGAAAGATTGAGATACAATAGATCTTCTCGTGTCCATATCCTGTTGGATGGTTGTTTGTAAAACAAACAAAATAATGCTCTTTCCTTTGTCCCACATAGGAAAGTTTTGAGAAAGTGGGTCGCTTTATAACTGTGAATATCTTCTTGCTCCTTAGAGTGAAGATAATGGGGTGTGTGCTAGTCCACACAATACCTGCGTGCGGGTGCGCGATTTTGACGCTTGCGCGGCCACGGTTTAATTAGCACTAATCCCTTTATATTTTTATTTTATTTCGTAAGGTTATCTTATTAATTTTTATTAGTTGAAAGGTTGTTTTTTGTTTATTAAGTAATTTTCGAAATTATGAAAATTCGGAATTATTTCTTTCTTTATTTATTTATTTTATTCCGAATTTTACATGTGTCTTTCTAAGATAACTTTTGGAGATTATAATTGTTCAGTTTTCAATCTTTTCCGAAGGGTTGCATCTATTCAGTTTGCAACTTCTTCCGAAGGAATATCTTTGTTAGCTTTGCAACCTTTCGTGAAGAGTTGCCAATGTTGTTTAAGACCAATTTCTATATATGTCAGTTTTTGGCAAGAAAGAAAACAGAGATCAATTTCTTCAAGTCTTCTTTCGAAAACTACATCCATCATTTCTTTTGTCTCCTAGAGAGACCCTGGAGAAATACTAGAATTGCTATCTAGTATTCTCATTTTGAGACTTTGTTGTATCCTGGAGGATTTTTGCCGGTGACCATTAGCAACAATTGTGGGGCAAATAAATCCTTAAGGAAAGTGATATCACGCCTCAAAGTCCGACTTGATTGCTCTTTTGATTCTAAGCCATTTATTTTCACAACATATCCATCTTGGTATCTCCCCTTGAATATAATTGTGGGAGAGGTCGAGGGAGACCAGTGTAGACTGGTTAGCCAAAAACTGAGGCAATGATCGCAATTGGCAGGAAGCCAACTTTAACGTATGAAAATCAGGGAAAGAAGATGCAGCAGCAGAAGCAGACGCCATAGTGTTAATGGACTTGCCATTGTATGAAAGATCATGATAAGCTAAATTTCCAAATCCCCGAAGTGCATCGATATTCATTGAGCCACTGAAATTATCGGAAGAAAGTGAAAGGTAACCAAGCCCTTGCAGTTTGAATATGGATGCTGGTATTGGCCCCTGTAACTGATTGCTACCCAAATCAAGCATGCCCAATTGCTATGAACAGACATTCGGATATATGATAAGCTGACCAGAAAATCTATTGTGTGAAAGCTGTATCATCTCAAGTCGGGTAAGCGTAAGCAGAGCTGAGGGGATGTTGCCTTCCAACAAATTGTTTCGCAGGTCTAGATACTCAAGATTCAGAAGATCTTCCCAGCCAATAGAGGTGATCTTACCCGTTAAATCATTATGGGATAATCTTATTTGGGTCAGATTTCTGGATGCAAATGGTGGAACCGGTCCAGAAAATTGGTTAAATGAGAAGTCCAGAAGAGCCAGTAGAGGAAGTTTCACAATCGAGCTTGGGATTGATCCCCTGAAACTGCAATTTACCAGTTCTATGCTAGACAATTTCTTGAGATTACCAATGGAAACAGGAAGTGTACCTGAAATGTTTGTGTTGCTAAGAAACAGGTTTTGAAGAGAACTATGAGCAGGAAATTCCGGCAAAGGACCCCGAAGAAGCATATTGAGCGACAGATCAAGGGTCTTTAATGTCGGTGCCCGAAAGATTTCACGGGAAATTCTCCATACAAACCACAAAAAGCTAGGCTCAGAGTTTTCAAGCTGGAAAAATTCGCTAAGAACTTAGGAACTGTGGTGTAAAAGTTATTGCCATAGAGTTGAATGACCGACAGATTAGCAAGACTCATAAGAGAAGCCTTCAGAGGACCGGACAGAGAACAGTTAGACATGCTCAACACCTCAAGTTTCGGAACTGAAGAAGACAACGCGTCGCACCACCCACTCCCCTCAGCAGACACATCGACCAAATCAAGGTAGAGCTCCCTCAACTCCACCAAATCCCCAATCAGTGCCCTCAAAGAGGGCTTCTCAAGTTTCAGAAAAGCCGGATAAGAGGAAAGACAAGTGAGATCAAGAGAACGTAGCTTCCTCAGGCGAGATAGCTCCGCCGGAATCTTCCCCACGAATCCAGCATTGGACAAGTTGAGATGTACCAAGCGGCTGAGATTTGCGATGCCTGATGGAATCGTCAAGTAGTTGAAGTAGTTGAAAGCCAAGTTCAGGCTCCGAAGGAACTCGAGCCTGAAGAGGCTTGACGAACCGTCGATTCCGCCAGAGATAGACTCGTTGCTCAAATCAAGACCAATGACGAGGCCGTCCTCGCACGTCACGCCGCTCCATGAATCGCCACTTCGGTCCCACTGTACTAGCATGGAAGACTTGGAGGCGTTGAAGACGAGGCTGTTTCTCAGCTTGAGCAAGAGCGATCTCTGGTCGACGCCGAGACACTGGGCTGAAGCTGAACCCCCAGCAACCTCGAAGGAGATGGAGATCATGGATATCGCAAGAAGAAGCCATGAGACGATCGAACCGTTCATCGGAAGAGGCTGAAGAAGAGGGCGGGAAGAGGGAGTCAACCGAAACAGTGTCCACACTTCATGGAGGAGCAGTCCGAAGTCAGTGCAAGCTGGATGTCATTAGTTATCAAATTTGACTTATTATACTTTGGAATTTACTGAGGAAAATCGCGATGCTGCCCAACACAATTACTTTCTTTATTTAACATAATTTTTCAATTAAAAGAAAATGCTATATCTTCTTTTCTAGAAAAAAAATATCATCCTTTTCTCTTCTAGAATGATGGATTGCTTTATCATGGATTGTCAGTGTGGGATGCTGACAAATTTTAAGGTTCTGTTTCTCTCAGACGGACGTTCTAATCCCAATGCCATCGGAATTCCATCGAGCTCTGGAAGACAACCCGCAAAACCACTAAGTTACAATCGACTCGACCAGGTCAACTCTGGACATTTCAAATCTCATATCTCCGTCCTACTCCTACCCATCAATTCGCTCGCTGAATGAGAACTCACAATTCTCCCAACTGACAGAGACTCGAGTCGCTTAAAATCTCAGCACTCGACGTCGCAATGCCGATCAAATCCAAAACCCACCCACCCACAAGAGAAAGCAGAGAGACCCGGAATTTCCCGAGCCCAACACCCGTCACATTGAGATCGATCGCGGCAAGTTCCAGCGCGACCACGACTCACCTCGGGTTGTGGAACAGGGGCCGACCTTGTTGGTGTAGAGAGGGACGGGGTCGAGCTCCTTGTAGCGATGGTCGGACGGGGTCGACATGGCAGCCTGAGCGAAGCAGAGCGCCAAGACGGCGAGGTCGAACATCGGGGGGATCATCGTCTTCTGCCTTGGCAGTGAAGGGGCACTTATCACAAACATCGTTGGAGATATTTTGTTTAAGCTGATGATAGAGCACAAATATGTGTTCGAAGCTCTATCCACTGGTGATAATTTCATGTTATCTTACAGGACCTCGGTATGTTTTATCGCTCCTATTCTCCTCTCTTCTCCAGTACTCTCTCCTAAAGATTGTAATTGTTAATGAAGTTAGTTTCAGCTTAAGTGTATTTTGCATCAAATAGATAAAAAATCTAATAACCCCGAAATATTTTTACATGATTATACAGTTGCTGTAAAGTTAGAATATAAAGAAAAAAGAAGGCAAACAAATGAGCTGAAACTACAAGAGAAAGCAAGTCGTCGTCCAAACTCGATCGGGCGGTGGAGGAAGTGTAAAGAGAGACGGCCGAATGGTTCCCTCCAATGAGTTGTGCCTCAAATCTAGTTTTACAAGGTTTAAGAAGTCCTTCCCATCGAGGGGACTTAATCTCTCCGGTTAGAGCATTGCGGGGATAGCATAATATATCTGAGATTCTTGGACATACTGGATGAAGGAACTGAACCCAATTAGATTATTCAAAGACCAGTCCAAAGCAAGTCAACTCCGAAAGGTTCCCCATTAAGGTCGGGATCAATCCACTCAAACTGCAAGTAAACGATTCTAATCACGATAAGTTTTTGGGATTACCGATTGAATCCGGAACCCTCCCTGAAATATACGTGTAACTCAGGACCAAAGCCTCAAGATAACTATCCTCTGGAAAATCAGCAATCACTCAGACCAAAAATCTCCATTTTTCCCAACTTTCTTATTATTTTTATATTTTGAATGATCTTGGAAATTTTTTGAATAAATAAAGACTTCAGTCGGAAGATATGACATGGAAACCTAATTGAACTGTGTTTGTTGGTCTTTATTTTTGCATTCTTTCATATATATCGCGTATTTTTCCCTTTCAAACTAAGGTGAAGTAATTATTGTGCCTATTGAATTTAAATGGTTATTGGTGGAACTCGGGGAAATTACCAAAAAAAGTCCTAAATTAATTGCTTTTGTACCAATTTAGTCATAAACTTATTGGCTAGCGAAGGCGACTGGCTCTCGCCGGCCTAGGGTTATAAAGAAAAAAGAAAAAAGAAAAGAAAATTTATTTAAAAAATTCAGAAAAAGTTTTAAAAAACTGTCCACATTAACATAGGTCATGCCACGTGGGAAGGCCAGCGCTAACTAAACTGCCGTGCCAGTAATTTCCGGCCAAAATTGGCTAGAATGACTTATTTGGCAAATCGTCAAAAAGTTTAGAACTAAATTGATCAAATTAAAAGATTTATGATTGAATTGGTATAAGTATAATATGTTTAGGACATGTTTGATAATTTTTCCAGTGGAACATATTTGTCACATCCTAACCTCGGGGTTGTTAATGTGACGTTCCAGGCGCATTGCCGTCCCGTTTATTTTATCTTCTCATTATGAGCATGCGGAAGCATACAACAAATACCTAGACAACAAGAAGCAGTCAAGAAAAACGACTTAGCAATACACTACTTCTTATATTACATGAGTGTATTTTACAAGCCTCTTTCTACGGGCATTTTTCTCTTTTCAACACACTACACGTATCCGCATAGGCTGGGGGAATTCCTATCTTCTCTAGCGTGACTACAACTCCCAAAACTGATGTGAGACTTCCATGCCTATAAATCTGAAAAATAACTGAGTGAGTCGAGGACTCAGAAAGTAAAACTCACTAAATTCCGGATAGGATGACGCCTCGCCATCGAATAAAGCACATGTCATAGCCACATCCATTGATAGCAAATCAATAGCAAAGATGTTTCAAACACACTTGTTTTTGTGAATGAGATGATCTCAACATGCCTTTTAACCAAGTAACAACATTACAACCAAAAGCATGCACACGAGAGATTCATTTTCTCAACCGTTGATACGGTTCTTCCGGAAATTCTTTGGGCAACATCCCCTAATCTAAGGGTGACGGCTTTTCATCCGAACTTAATTGAGCAACGTCTCCAATCAAGGGCGACGGCTATTCATCCGAACTTAATTGGACAACGTCCCCAATCAAGGGTGACGGTTATACTTTTCCCTTGTGCGACCATGCCAACAAGCATCATACCAACTTGAGTACTTCACACGAAGTGTGTATCATGTCATGTCACCTCTAAAGTCTTAAGTCATGCCGGACATGAAACCAAGTTCGTGGCCTGAACCAACCGGTTATGGCGCCGACCTACACCAAGCAAGGCTTGGATCGGTACGCCTCAATACTGACCTTCCAAGCAAGGCTCATTCCAACACGCCTCGACACCGATCCGAACCAAGTGAGACTTGTTCATGACCCGGGTGTTCTCTCAAACATGATGCTAAACACATTAGCAAACCTTATAAATGTAAATGCAAATACGGCAAGCTATATCAAGTGTTCACAAATCACGGAATTCATGCAAGCACCACAAGCACATGACTCGCCCAACAACGCAACATGACACCCTAGCCAAGGTTTAGCAAGTCTACTTACAATCCTCCAAGGTTGATGGCCGGCGGTGGCCTAGTGGCGAACCTACCGACACGGCGCGGCACGGGCACTGGCGCGGGCAAGAGCGCAACCGAGAGGAGATAGGGCAGCCTAGAGAGTGAGTGGCGTGAGGGAGAGAGGAAGAGGTGATAGTGCAGTTGTGAGCCAAAGGTGGAAATGCAAGAGGGGGCTCATCTATTTATAGGCAAACATTTCATCATTGCTTAGCCAATTGGACCAATAGAAAACCTTGAAGTGGCAAACCTATTGGGTTGATTTGGCTAGTCTAATAAGTAGGAGTGGCAAGTCTAATAAGAAGAGGTGGCAAGCCTAAGCCTTAAGTGCACACTTACCTTCTTCACATTGGACCACTTAGGGTGTGAATCATTCTAGTATTAATGAAATGCAATGATGTATAAGACACCTAAGCTAGGTGACTCACCATCCTTCATTTAATGTCTGGATTTGGTATAATCATGGGCTTTGGATTTGATCTTATCCAATACTTGCTCACCAAGACAAGCTTTCTTCTTTTAGAGTATTCTATTTTGTCATTTTCCAAGAATTAAAGCAATCATGAGGATGTCTTGAAAGTCTTTGGCCATCATTAGTCTTCCTTTTCAAGCTTTCAATTAAGGCCATTCATTCCAAACTTGGCATCCAAGTCTCCAGTCTAGCGTCATTATACCCTACTAAGTCATTTAAGATCATTTATTGCCTAACTTGGTTTCTAAGTTGTCAAGAAAGCCATTAAGTCTAAGATCCTCATGATGACTTCAAGATATGTCTTGGGTCCCTCTCTCTTTTTAGCTTGGGCGTGTACATCATTGTCTTGGTCTCCAAGACACAAATTATTGGTATCTTCCTCAAAATACCTCACTTATTGGCTTGGTGTCTATTATTAGTGTCTGAGTTAAATTATTAGCAACTTAGTCAAGTCAACTTGTCATCTTATTCCAAGAAGCATTCTTGGCGTGAACCATGTGGCCTTATCAAGAAACATTCAATAATCGGGGTCCTTGGTAGTTCTAATGGTACATCTTTCTTTGAACATCCAATTTTTACTAAAACTTGACTTAACAAGGAACTAAGGTAATTATTGGTTTCAAGTGCCATAAACGATCGACCACCCCATTTGGAATTGAGATTCAGTGTAAAAATATGTCCGAGCCAAAGACCGGGCTGAACGGCACAAGGCCAAACCCGCTGAAATGTCCTGGCACATGGCCTATTCGGTCGGCCTTGATCGGGCGCGGGGCCTAGCACATGGTCAAGCCATATGGGCGCAGGGCTGGGCACATTGCCGAGCCATAGGGGCGCCGAGCCGGCTGCACGGACGCAGGGCCGAATGCACGAGCGCGGTGCCGAGCCGCAGGGTCGGTGCACCGAGCGCATGGCTGGGCCACACAAGTGAGGAGCCGGTACTTGGGCCGAGGAAACGCATTGGCTCACGGTCGACACAATGCATGGCCTGTGGCCAAGTCTGATTGGCACAGAACTAGGTCTGGGTCGGAACTAATGGGCACAAAGCCTGGCACAAGAGTCAAGCACAATGATTGGTACACGGTCGGGCACAAGGCCGGTCCGTGACCTAGCTGACCGGCACAAGGGCCGGTCCATGACCGAGCACAAGACCTGGCTTGCATGGCCAACACAAAGCCTGGTCCACGACCAAGCCACGAGGCTCTTGGCCTGGCACATGGCTCGTCTATGGCCTACCCGACTCAATGCGACGATTCATGGCCAATTTGCGACCGGTCCACGTTCGAGTATTAACGACCCATGATCAACCCTCAGTTGTCATGTAGCCGCGTGGAATCAAGTACTACGAGATCGATCCATGGTCATCCGCGACCGATGCATGGCCAAGCGGCATTATCCGCGATCGACACATGCCCACACGACACCGATTCCATGATCGTCCCGGACCTTCCCACTAGTGACCCTTATGGTCGAAAGGTCAATCCATGGTAGAATCACTCTAATCAACTTACGTGACTGGAGAGTCATTTCATTATCGATTACTTGGCCAATACATGGACGATCCTTTGATCGAGCCATGACCAATCCTCAATACACTCGTTCCGACCATACCATCCGTTCCATTACCGACCCTCGGATCGGACCGCTCGTCAATTCCATGGCTATTTCTCTTAGCCGTCTCGGTCCAAATTGGGGATGTCACAATATTCTTTGATTATCATGTCACATGATTCAAATCTAAACTCCTCAAGTACATTTCTACTGTTGAAATATTTAATAGCGATGTTGGCATTTCGAGCAGAGCTTCTGTTATTGTTCCAACCTCAGCAACTTAGCTTCAGAAGCATATCTAGAGAAATCGTATTAGACCAATGAAATTTGTGACGTATTGGTATCATTTCTTGATAACGCTTTGGCTGCTACTCTTAATTTGTTTTTTAGACCATGTGCTACCACATGGAACTACTCTATGACATAAATTATGGTACGATGAAGAGCATTATATTAAATGCAGGATTTAACAATTCTAGAGAACTTACTAAATGCTAGCGCCGGTGATTGAAATTAGCAGACTTTATTTCTTATACAGCATGACTGTTGACTTGAAAGCATCAGTAATCACTAATCAGACAATTGATGAAGTCAACGAGTCACCTGGGTTCCAATTGCACACACCAAGCTTAAGAATTCCACGCACTTTGTTAGAGCTGGGAAGATGGCGCCCTTGGTAAAGTTTGGCGCAGTACATGTATGAAGAAATTTCGTGTTATTCAAGCTTGAAGAATTTTCTTTATTCAAGGACTTTCCTAGCAATAGACGTACAGGTCTTGAATTTCTCAAGCCCAATCATCTTCTACTAGATGCACATCCTCAGTTCTACTTCATAGACGATTGGCAGTTTATAATGGACAATCATGGAGAGGAAAAACTGTCAACTTACCCCAATCAAGCATAATGACCAAAGTTCAGCGAACATGATAACATTGCGAAAGTCTGAACAGCAAGTCGTCCCAAAACTGATAATACACACTCCTCCATGGCTGGATAAATATTAGCATACAGCAAAAACCCCAGAAGCCGACAACAAATCCGAGTGCCATGCTCATTTAAAACGACTTCATGTCAATCCAGCCATTGTCCTCGCCATGTTTGGACCTTTGAGTTGGAACAGCATCTGCTTCTTCAGGATTGGTTGTTATTGGGCAACTTTTGTCAAGTGGAAACCCGTGTAGTCCTTCATTACCTTCAAACGAACCTACTGAAAATGTGAGAAACTGTTTGCGTGCTGGGATCATTCCGACAAGTTGATTATAGGAGAGGTTCAGGAATGAAAGGAAGTTCAGATCTGAAAGCTGCACCGGAATTCTCCCATTGAGGTAGTTCTATGACAAGTCTAAGGACTAGAGCTGCTGTATTATTTTTCCTAATGAGGGGGGTGGATAGGACCTGAAAGCACATTGTGCGACAGGTTGAGAAAATAGAGTGCTCAGAGATCTCCCAATGCTTCTGGTATTGGAGCCTCAAATCTATTGCTCAAGAAGTCGATCGAGGTGAAAACAGTTAGGATCTTCATTAGTTCTAGATGCAGAACTTTAAAAGTAAGACTAACTGTGTCCTGATAATAGAGATTGCTCAACCGAAGAAACGGATATTGAAGATGCTTAAAGTGCAAATTGACCTTCATGGCCTCCCAAGACATCAGGAAATCTTCAGGAAGCATACCGCTGAAATTGTTGAAAGCTAGGTCAACAATTTGAAGCATCTTCCATGTGCCACTATTGACTGGACAACCAATTTGCCCGTGGAATTTTTTGGAATGCAGAACAAGGATTCTCAGGGTAGATATGTTCTTCAACTGGCATGGGAATATATCCTTAATCCGATTGTTTCCAATGTCTAACACCTCTAACATGGAACATTTAGTCAAAGAAATCGGGAGCTTTTCTGTCAAGAGATTACCATTAACATCCAAAGTCCTTAAAAGACACGCGGCTGGTAATGTATGCGGAATTCCTCCAGTCAGGTTGTTATTCCTCAAGTTTAACACCTTGAGAGTCTTTAACATTGAGCACTGAGGGATAATTCCCATCAAATGGTTGTTAGAAAGGTCAAGTACCATGAGAAACAGGGCTTCGCAAATTGATTCTGGGACGGGGCCATGGAAATGATTGTTTGAGAGAGAGAAGAAAATTGTGGATCCCAGGTGTTTACCAATATCATGTTGAAGAACAGAACTGAAATTGTTACTCGAGAAATCCAGGTATGCACCATTCGGGGGCAGAGGTAACGTTTTCCCCTGGAGCTTGTTTCTGTGGAGGTCAATAACAGAGAGACTGGAAGGGAGATTAGGTAAAGGTTCTCCCAATTTCTCGAAGAAATTGAAGGAAAGATTGACATAAGAAATATATGCAATCTCCCATATCCATTTTGGTATCTCTCCATGAATGTGATTGTCGGAGGGGTCTAGATGGGCTAATGTGGGTATATTTTCCCAGAATACAGGTAACGAACTCAGCTGACAGGAAGCCAGCTTTAAAGTGTATAGATTAGGGAAACCAAACATAGCAGAAGTGGAAGCAGTAGCATTAACTGACAAATGATTATGGGAAAGATCGAGATATGTGAGGTTCTTGAGCCGCTGAAACGCATCAATGTGCAATGAGCCACTGAAATTATTAGAAGAAAGTGAGAGGTGGTTAAGTCCTTGTAGTTCAAAGACATACGCTGGTATGGGCCCCTCTAAATTGTTGCTGCTCAAATCAAGCCCCGTTAATTGATAGCAAGAGACATTTAGAGACCCACTCAGCTCACCAGAAAACTGATTGTCGGACAATTTTATGATCTTGACCGAAGGAAGTACAAATAGAGACGGGGGAATGCTGCCCTCCGGTGAGTTGTACCGCAGAACTAGATATACAAGGCTTAGAAGTTCTTCCCATCGGGTGGACTTAATCTCTCCTGTTAGAGCATTGCGGAATAGCATAATCTGTCTCAGATTCATGGACATGCTGAACGAAGGAACTGAACCAGTAAGATTGTTTAAAGACAAGTCCAAATAAGTCAGCTCTGACAGGTTCTCCATCGTGATCGGGATCAACCCACTCAATCCGCAATTGAACAATTCTAATCTCGACAATTTTCTGAGATTACTGATTGAATCTGGAAGTCTCCCTGAAATACTTGTGTCACTCAGGATTAGAGTCTCAAGAGAACTATCCTCCGGAAAATCGGGCAAAGAAACCTGAAGAAGTTGGTTCAATGATAGGTCAAGGGTCTGAAGGGTCTGCACCTGAAAGATTTTACGAGGTAACTCTCCATACAACCCACAATAACTCATATGCAGAGCAGTTAGATTGGAGAATCTGTCGAGGAACTCAGGAACTGCGGTTGACAGGTTGTTGCCATTGAGTTGAATGAATGACAAATGATGAAGATTCACGAGGGAAGAGTCGACAGGACCAGAGAGAAAGCAATTAGACATGCTCAGCACCTGAAGTTTTTGCACTGAAGAGGACAATTCATTGCACCACTCATTTCCCTCGGAAGACAGGTCGATGCCATCAAGATGTAACTGTCGTAGCTCCGTGAGATTTCTGATCAAGGTCTTCAAATTGGGATTCTTGAGCTTTAGTGTATCAGTTCCACGGAAATAAAGAAGAGAAAGATCAAGAATGCTTAACTTCCTCAAGCGCGCTAACTCTATCGGAATCTGCCCAGAGAATCCAGCATTGGACAAATTCAGATAAACCAGGCCACTGAGATTTGCGAAGCCAGACGGAATTGCAGAGGATTTGAAATCGTTGAAAGCCAAGTTTAGCTTTTGAAGACGCTTTAGTCTAAAGAGACTTGCCGAACTGTTAATATTGCAAGAGATTGATTCGAAGCCCAAGTCTAGACCAATGACCTTTCCATCCTCATCGCACGACACACCATTCCAAGGGCGAGCAGTCCGATTCCATGTAACCAGCTTGGAAGATGTAACAGTATGAATTTTCGATCCTTTTCCCGGGATTTAGGAAATGAATTTGACCAATGCACTATAGTGAGATCTCACCCGGGACCCGCGCATTCTCGGGATGCTAACCTTAGGGGTAGGGCCGTTACGGGATTGAATTCGCACGACCAAAGAACTTGACCTGGGTTTGATCTTCGACCATATGGATTGGCGAGGGAATGTTTTGAGCCAACCGAGACCGGTCTATTTGATTGATCGTGTCCGAAGGGAACTAGTGACAGACCCTTGCAATTATATGACAACCGAGGTCGTCCCGGGTGGAGTAAACTTAAACGTGATTTGACTTAGTGTCGGTCACGGGTCGAGAGCGCATAATTCCAGAGAGCCACCCGTTAGCCAGAGATAAGCTAAAGTCACGATTGTTCAATTTTAGTCATTTCTTAGAATTCGGGCCCGGGAATCGAGAATTTTGAAAGTGACAATTTTGGACGGCCGATGACGTTTTTGGCTTGGCCAACCTTGGGGCCAACCATTTTTGCAAAAAATGGATTTCGGTTCGGGGCCAAGGAAAATTACGATTTTGCCCCCTGTGGACACCGATGTTGGATTTTGAGGCCGTTTGAGGTTATTTTTCGCGGCCAAGGTCATTTTGGGGTGGCCACGCACATTCAGAGTGGTTTTGGCCAAAAATTGGAATTTCGACAAAAATTGGAAAAATAATATTATTTTATTCCCAGGACTTTGCAGTCAGTTTTCGAGGACTTAAAAAGTGAATTTCGCGATTCCAACGCCATATTATGTTGGCCACGCACATATGGAACGCGTATGTGCGAAAATTGGAATTTTGACCCGGGACCGAAAAATTACCAAAATGCCCTTGGACCCATTTTTGGTAATTCCGAATTTTGGATTTAATTTTGGGATTAACCAAGGTGAGTTTGACTTAATCCAGGTCTGGTCAGCCTTGGGTTAGTGACAAATGACCATTTTACCCCTAAATTATTGGATGAGAAGGAAAGATAGCCATTGGATCAAGGGCAAAATTGTCCAATTGGCCTAGATTGAGACACATGGATTCCACTCACACCAAACTTTGACTCATTTGACCAGACTATTCTCTCTCTCGTGAAGACCATTCAGCCATTTCCCCCAAAATTTTCTCTCTTTTCCGTTTCCATTTCTAGATTACGTTTACGCTCAAGCCGTCTTGTTCACGCCAGAAGCAGTACCGGCGGGCTGCCGGCCGCCCACCAGCCGTCGCCACAGCACCCTTGGACCTCCCTCTCACCTGTTCAGCCACCACAGCCCCGGTTTAAACCCAGAACAGCCCTCTCTCTCTCTTTTTCTCTCTTCCCGTTCCGTAAACAGTACCGTCGGAGCTCCGATCGCCGTTCCGTCGACACCCAGCCGTCCAGCACGTCCATACGTCGCCGCCCAGCACTGTCCGTAGAGTGTCCGTACTGTTACTGTTCACCGTACGTACAAATCACTGTTCACGCCGGACTGTACGGACGCCGCGACTGTCACAGGCACCTCGTCGGCCACCGTCCCAGACCTGTCCATATGGTGTCCGTATGAAAAATTGCATTCACGCTTTGTTAAATGCGTCGCCGCGGCAGTTTGCTCCATTCTTGCCGCTTTCCGGCCCGTTCCGGATACGTACTGTCTCGCCTTTTTTGGGTAAGTGTTTTCCCCAAATGTCATTTAGGACCTCGGGTATTTCTAGACTCGTTTGAAGTTCGGTTTAAGTGATTTTAGGGACTGTTTGTGGCTGTTTTGTGGCTGTCTTCGGGACTAAGTTAGGGGTTGAATGTTTGGAGGTTGTGGGCTAATTGGGCGACGTAATTCGAGGTTTAGGAATGTTGAGTTAGGGCTGTGATGTCGAGGATCGATCGGGAATTAAATGGGTTTATCGGATTAATTGTGTAGTTTGCTGTCATTGGCTTGTTCTAGTTTGTGCTTGGGCCGAATGGGATGTGGTGCTATGCCGTGTGTGTGGCCGTGAGGCGTGGTGGCGTGGACATGTGAATGTGCATTGAGTTCGTGTGCCGAGTGTGGGTGATCATGTGGTGTTCGTGTGACGAGAATGCGTGTTTGTGAAGTGTACGTGAGATGTGAATTTGGTGCGTGGCTATGTATGTGTGAGGCGTGTATGTTTGGCCGTGCGTGTGCTGGTTGTGTGTAAGTGTGGTTTGAATGGAACGAGGATATGGAAATGTGAGATTGGTTGGAAAGGATCCGTCCTGAGGCGTGTACGTTTACGCGGGACGATGCCGTCCCCCGACGAGGTGACGATGCCGGCCCGACGAGGTGTCGATGCCTCGGCGTGGTCGAAGACCGTTGGCACGATGCGTTTTACGCGGGCGCGATAGAAGGAAAGTGTGTGTAGGATTCCGTCCTGAGGCGTGTACGTTTACGCGGGACGATGCCCGGCCCGACGGGGTGACGATGCCTGACGAGGTCAGAAGACCGTTGGCCTGATGCGTTTTACGCGGGCGCGGTAGTGGTGGAAAGGTTGAGAATGAGTGGAATTTGACAAGACAAGCGAGAGGATTGTGGAAAGTGACGCATGGTGTGAGTAGCATGCGAGTGTGTTTGTATCGTGTGATGTGATGCTTAATTATGGGGTAGAAACTGCTAGGCACGGTATGGGACGTGCCCAAGTGGCTTTTGTCTTATAATTAAGGCACGCGCGCATCTGTGATTCCTTGCTGTGATGTGTTGGCTGTGTTATTGTCTAACGTGCAGGAACGTGCGTGATGGATTCCAGGTAGGGTCGCATGTGATTGTTAGTTTGGCCGATCGTTGTGTGTTATGTGTGTTTTCGTCTGGCGGTACGTGAGTGCCTACGTGGGGTTTGGGGTTGTACACTTATTGAGATTCGTCTCACGGTTGTATAACCGCCACTTTCAGACCCCCGGCCCTAAACCCGGGAAGTGCACCTTTTCTTTTTGGAAGTCCGGGGAGCTGCTGTTGGTACCCAGTGGAGCTGCAGGTGAGTTCCAGAGATTCAAGCCAGAAATTCAGAAGCAGAATGGAAGAGGGCGACCCTTAGGTTTTTCCCTAGGGTGTTTTAGGGGTTGTATAACTTGGGTTATCCGATAGTGAAGTTAAGATAACCAAACCCCTGAACTTTTGTTTAAACGGTGATTGAGGATGTTAGTCTGTATTTATGTCTGTAATATGATGTTTGTATATTTGGTGTTGTATGAATATGTGGTTGCTGGATTGTTCTGTTGTTCTACCCCGTTGTCGTCATTATTTGTCCGGGGTTTTGTTATTCGCTTCCGCATGTGGCTCTGATGTTTGGGTTGGGTCGGCGACGTTCCTGGGACGTCGCATCATTTCGACCGGAGCAGGGGATGTCGCGAGCTCGTTGGGGTTCGGGGCGTGACAGAAGACACAGATGCATTGAAGACGAGGCTATTTTTCAGCTCGACCAGCAACAATTCTTGATCGCCGAGACATGGACTAGAAGCCAATGCTAAATAGATTCTGAAGAAATTGGTGCATATGAATGGCAAGAGAAGCCACAACAACTGCGAGGTTCTCATTGGATGCAAACTTCGATACTATTTTACAGAGTTAGTGAGTGAAAACATACAAGAAGTTTCGTTATTATTGGAAGGCAGATAAACATGAACCTCCTTGTATGGGATTTCAACGGAGCTGTGTTTGCTCTAATTCTTATCGCATCGTGTCATTAATTTTTCAGTCCCTATGCGCGACTATCTTATGTTGACTTGACTTGCGATTGCGAATTCATCAAACCACTTTATTGAGCCATTGGCGGCCTTCGGTGGTTCTTGACTGCTGGCGAAGAAATATTTCCCTAGGACATCGTTCCCCGCTTTCTACAGTACAAGTTCCCTTCTAGAGAGCAGATATTCATATCGCTCCCATTTTATATCTAAAAGGTTCATTGTAATCCGGACCTGATGTTCTGTTTAATGTTCACTATTGGGAAAATAAGGAAATTAAAGATGGAGCTCTCAGACTCGTTTACATGTTACATTTGGACCCATCTTCGCAAATTAAGTGATCCGTGTTTCTTGGTCTTTAGTCTTTACTTTTGCATTCTTTCCCATATGTCATATTTTTCTCCTTTCAAACTAAGGTCAAATCTTTATTGTGCCTCTTGAATCTACGATTAATGGTGGAATAGTTTCTCTTATTATCCTGTCTCATGATTCAGAGCTAAGCTCTTGAGGTACATCATTTATGCCTTTTGAATATATAAGCAATATGTTGGGATTTCGAGCAGCGGCGCACTGCCACTATTACGGTTCCAAGCTCGTCTGCACTAACGTGAAACTCGTGAGGTTGCGAGATGATGTCAGGCTCGATAATGGCTTGAGCTATTTGACCAAGTAATTTGGGCGAGTGGCTGGAGACCACCGGAACAAATGACGTGTGAAATTGACCGGGATTGAGTGCAAGTACTTTGGCAACCCTTGGTCCGGCTACTATTACTTTCATTCTCTTTGTTTTTACCGTCATTATGGCCCTCTTTGCTACTTACGGATATCATCATCCCAAGAATTAACCAACCTCAACAACTCAGTTTCGTAAACATAACTAGAGAAATCTTATTAGAGCAATGAAATTTGTGACCTACCTAGTTTCATTTCTAGATATGGCTTCGGCTGCTACCCTTAATTTAATTTAGATTGCTTAAAACTAACATTTTTGTTGCAGTTAAATCACGTGCGACCACATGGAACTAGTGCATGACACAATTTAACGTGCGATGAGGAGCATTACATTACTTTTAGGATTTAACATTTCCGGAGAACGTACTAGATCTCAACGCAGCCAATCGAAATTAGCGGACTGTATTTCATGTATATCATGATAGTTGACTGGAAAAGCAGCAGTCATCACTAATCAGACCATTGATGAAGTAGTCAAACCCAAAAGCTGCATGCACCACCTTTGGTCCGGTTTGGCGGGTACACGCTTGAAGAATTTTTATATTATCCAAACTTGACAAATGTTCTTGATTGAAGGACTTTCCTTTCGGTAGATAGACAGAACAGGTCTTAAAATTCTTTATTTAATCACCCTCTCCGTTAAGCATTGACAATTATGGATAAGAAACACATTAAACTACTCCAAGCATTCGTAACGATCAAAGTACGTACAATAGCTTTAAGTTGACTTGACTATGGAAAAATTACCAAAACAGTCATAAATCTATTACAATTATGTCAATTCAGTCATAAATCTTTTTTTTTATCAATTCAGTCCTAAACCTTTTGTATTTGTGCCAATTCAGCCCATCCGACCAATTTTGGCCGACCGGCGCTGACGTGGACGCCAACTGGCGTCGGCCAGATCCTTTTATTTTTTTTGAATTTTTTATATTTTTTTTTCCTTTTCTTCTTCTCTTGGCCGGTCCAGCGACTGGCCAGTGTCGTCAGCCACTGGGGAGGCTCGCCCTCTCCAGTGTGCCGGCGAGGGTGAGCCTCGACCTCGCCATCCTGGGCGAGGTCGACCGAGTAGCGGCCATGGCGAGGCCGCTCCACCTCCCCCAGATCTAGGCGAGGTCGAGCGGCCTCGCCATTGCCGCTGCTCGGCCGACCTTGCCCTCATCAGTGCCGGCGAGGGCGAGCCTCACCAATGGTCAGTGACCAGTGTTGGTCGCCGGCCTTAGCCCCTGGCCGGTTGCTGGTCACTTGACTGGCTAGGGAAAGAAGAAAAGGAAAAATAAAAAAATAAAAAAAATTCGAAAAAAAAAAGTTTAAAAATATCACGTCAGCGTCGGTCGACATCCACATCAGCGCCAGCCGGCCAAAATTGGCTAGATGGACTGAATTGGCACAAATACAAAAGATTTAGAACTGAATTGGCAAAAAAAAAGGTTTAGGACTGAATTGGCACAATTGCAATAGGTTTATGACTATTTTGGTAATTTTCCCACTTGACTACAAAATGCAAAATTGTTGTTCCAATGGTGCTCGACGATTTGCCGATTTCTAAAACTCCGTTTATGACAAAAATGGAATTTGTTCCGACAACGGTGTATACATAATAACGTCGGTAGTAAATTCAAAACATTTTTCATAAGTACAACATGACCAATAATTTGTTAGTTCAGTCAACTATATATAAATTACTAATGGATTAACAATTTTACGATCAGCAACTCCAAAGGTACCACTTATGTTTAGATTTTACAAGTGGGCGCATAATAATTTGGAAGTTATCAGTAAAATAACAAGCAAATCAACAGTTTTTAACAGCGTCTAATCCACGTGAGAATATGACTGCAAAAAAAATCCACATGAGAAAAAATTCGTCACTAGAACGGCTCAAAGTTGGACGGAGACCCTTAGTATGAGGACCATTTTGAACAGAAGAAAAGTGAAGGAACGCTGTTGAATTTCAAGTAAGAGTACAGGATTCTGATGGCATTTTCCTTCTGTCCTGCCAGATAGGACATTGTTTGCGATAGCTACTTCGAAATTTTTTCCTGTTTAATATCCTTCTAGTTACAAAGAGGATAAGTTTTTCGACGATTCTAGTGTTCTGTGAAACAAAATACGGAACACTGTTATGTG